ATATATATATATATATATATATATATATATATATATATATTAGGGGATATATATATATATATATATATATATATATATATATATATATATATATATATATATATATATATATATATATATATATATATATATATTAGGGGGTACCCAAATATCACGATTTTTAGAAAATGAAAGGTCGCGGTATAAATACCTGCTACAGGGTTGCCAGGTTTTTTTTTGGGCACAAGCCAAAAATGAAACAAAAATAAACCAGAAATAAACCAGACCATAAAAAAAAGAAAAAAATCATAATTTTTTGTTTCAAAGCCTTGTTTATAATTTATATTTTGAAAAAAATGCTTTTTTATCCAAAAATTCATCCTTGAATACTAAAATTTAATTTGTAAGAGAGTGAGGGAGGAGGAGAAGAACGACTTAGTGAATGTTTAATTGGGTGCCAGTTCAGCCTTCAAGTGGCGTGGGTAAATTAGTTCACTCCCAAACACCTATACTAAATCCAACACTATCAACCTGTAAAATATATATATATATTATTTTGCTTGCATATGGATATATATTTCTTTTCCAACATCTGCGATAATTGACTCAATTATTTCAAAGTCCTGGTAAAAAATCTTTCGCCTTATTAAATATAATTTGACCCAAATGACTGCATGCAAGACTTAATTTGATATTTTCTTAGTATGATTTTTATGCAGATGAGCTGTGAGAAGACTCAACAAAATAGTTAGAAACGGAACACATAAACAGCCAAGTCAGTAAACATCTATATTGCAGAGGTCTAGGTCTCCGGAAACATCTAAATTAGTTTATGAAGCAGTTTAGAATTTAGCGGCGTTTTTAGAAACTCATTTTTCTTAAAAGTTTTTAGACTCGCTCTAATGATGCAATGTTAATTAATTTATGATTAATGACGGTTTCTGTAATGATTTTCAATTTCTCCACCTTTTGCATCCTTAAGATATAATTGTAAACTTGAAATGGCTTTTTCAACTTGGGAAACAACATTCAATACAGGCAGATTTTTCTCAAAAAATGTCATTTTGAATGTAAGAGTTTTCTAACATTTTTGGCAATTAAGGGATAAAAACAACATTTTAACGTAAGCATTTCTTTTATTTATTTTAAACTTGATTGTTCTTCTATAAAATAAAAAAATGGAAATTTTTCTTTCCATCAAAATAACTTTTTCATGAAAAAAAAAACTTGATTAAATTGATTTATTATTAAATAAACCAGAATTAAACCAGATTTTGAAAAACATTCCAGAACAAGCAAAAAAAGACCAAAGACTTTAAAATAAATCAGATTTAAGCCAGATTTTCTAAAATAAACCAAAACAAAAATTTCAAGCCAAATGATAAAAAAACAAACCAGATTTGAGAAATCTGGCTTAAAAAAACACCAGATAGCAACCCTGACCTGTTCTATACATAAAAAGAAGTATATAAACCAAATTTTACCTCTCTAGGACCATATTTAGTGCTGGAAAATGATTTTAGATTTTTATGCAAATACGAGAAATCATTTTTCTGAAAAAAATATTTTTTTACAATTTGGCCAGAGTTAATTGTTTTGCTCCTTTTGATATTAATGCCCTGTGCTCTCACACAAGAAGCAGAATATCTTGTCTTTTGTCCTCCTTTATACTACTACTTATATATCATTGGATTAAATTGATATTCCACTCTGCTGGGTCATTTGTAACATTTAGAGGTTTAACAAACTCACAAAATGATACATATGAATCATTTTCCTTCAGCTTTCCAGCAGCTAAATCTGTTTTCCAGGTAGGAATTTCATCCTGTATGCCTAGAATAATGAACAGAGTCCAAATTTCCTCTGTAATCAACTCTGTTATTTTAGAGGTAGGTAAAACTAGAACAGCATCAGGTTTACCATTGTGAATAGTGTTGATATCTGGTACCTCAAAGGTCAATCAAAAATTGTAAAGACTGTCAACCATGAAACAAGCATTGTGATTGGCTCCTGGTTGATGAATTTTAAAATCATTCAGCTTTGGTGACGAGACATTTAAATAAAATGCAGCATACTTTACTAGATGATTGTAATCATCTCTTGGAAACACTTCGTGATTAAGAGCAAACTTCAGATATTCCTGAGCATCCAGGTAAAGCTTATGAAGTTCAGATCCAACTTCCAGCTTCTTCTCATCAAATTTCTTAAACTCAGACAGGTCAACCTTTTAAACTATAGTGTGATATACTTCCCAGTCCTTCTTGAAATCTTTATAGAACTGTCGTTGTGGTGCAGCAGTAACTCCAAGGACAATTACAATTGCCCTATGTATTGCTATTTCAAACATGTGATGTCTGCATAACAGCCAGAGAACAGGTTTTCCCAAAATATAGCACAATCTGGTTAGAATTCCTGCATGGGCTCCTGTATTAACATTGGTAGTATCTGCAACAATTGCAAAAATTTCATTGCATATTTCAAAAGACTCAAGTAAGTTGTGAATAATTTCTGTTTCATCAACAGCTTTGCCAGACTCTGCACTCTGCAGGTAAAACACCAAGTAAGAGATTGTTTTTATTCTCAAATTCAGGGGTGGTTACACTGACAACAACTCTATCTCTTACAACAGATTGCAAGGTATTTTCATCTAAATGTTTAAACAGCTTGCCATTAAAGTAGAGAGCAAAGTGTTTTACAGCCATTATCTCTCTGTAATTTTCTCTGATTGTATCACCTAAATAGTAAATAAAGATAATTTTTTAATACAATATATTATTGTTATGACGGTTTATTTTTAGGTAAATATACCACTCTTTAAAGGTATAGTAAGATTTTGCATCATAACTTTCATATATAATAGATTTACATTAGAAAATCAAGGACAAGAAATATCGCATCTGAAGAAAAACCTTTTGATTTGAAAAAAAAACTTAATTTTGACTGGCAAAAAGTTGGCATAAAAGACTTTTTCTTTAGGTGTAATATCCCTTTTCCCTTTAAAAATTACCTTGATTTTCAATTACTTTTATTCTTTCTCTTGAAATACTGGATTTAGAAATGCCCATCTAATTAACATCTCCTCCCAGGTAATTAACAACAGACAACAACAGTCAGGTTTGTATTTCAATGCTGATTAACTCTCTAGCACAAATAGGTGTAGTTATTGACATCAATTCTTCTCTTGTGATCTTTTTATTTACTTGCATTGAGCCTTTAGGTAAGACTTTTGGAGTTTTAACTTGAGCAGCACCATATTCAAAGTCATTGTCACTATCTTCGAATGAGTCTTCTTGATCTGTCAAAGTTGGATCAAACATATCCATATCCAAACTGGCTGGACCAGACTTGTATCTAAAATATTTACAAAAATAAGTTAGGATTTCATTTTTAAGAAGAATGTTTTTTAACAGTTTTAAGACACTTGATTTACCTTTACCTTAATTACCTTCTTTCTTCAGCTTGTTTCTCCTCTAGGTACTTCATTCTCAATTGTTCTTGTCTCTTATACCTTTCTAGGCGTTTCTCAATAATGGTAGCTAGCTCTTTATCTGGCTTAGAAATAAATTACTTCCTAAATTCAAAAGGCATAACATTAGAATGCAATAACTTACACTGATAGACGGTCAGATGGATAGCTGAAAGACAGACAGACTGAATGCCCTACATAAAGTAGCTGCGCTACTAACAATTTTGATTAATATAGAGAAATTTACAAAAAGGTTACATTATATTTAATATTCTTACCTGTCTGTTTGCTGGTCTAGATAGAAATTTAGGTCTTCTTCAATAGCAGCTGGTGTTCTTGGTGTTATTTTGTCACTTTTCATCAGTTGCTCTAAGTTATCTTTGCCTATGTCAAACAACTGCTCCATTGTTGAAATGAATTCATTCTTAATATCTTCTCTAGTATGTTTGGTATCTTTCAGAGTAACACATTTTTTCAAAAGTTGATACTTCTTGTGTAGAGCTTGAAGTTTGTCAAGAATTGAATATTCTGAAATGATGTATGCTTCAAATCCTATTTTGGTCCAAATGTTGACTATTTGTCTAATCAAGCAGTTTGATTGCGCCTCAAGGTCACAAAAATCTCTACCTAAATTAGATTTTTTTAAATATTTCATTTATTTAACATTTTAGTGCTCTTAAATTTAGGAATAGAAATGTTTGTTTTATAGTTATGTCTTACCTTTGCATACCAAGTTCCTTGTTCCTTTTTGCTTCTTACAGGCTATGTTAATTTGTGTTTTAATAAATCTTTTCTTCTTGCTTGAAATTAAATATTGATAATATCTTAAAATACTACCATTAGTTGGAAGCTGTGTATTTGGTAGCTGTGAAATTGGGTTAGTTAACAGATATAATGGTCGTCTGACACTCTCACTTATATGCGCATTTTTCTTCTTTTTCGGACCCATTTCTTTCTGAAAAGTTAATGTTATTTTAACTATTTTGAATTATTTAGCTATAAGAAATTATTAATAATTTATAATAGATGTGTCATGTAGTGAATGTAAACTAAACACAAAATGGTGCAATCTTGTTATTTCACCATCTTTCACGTAATATCACCATACTTAGCGTATTTTTGTAAAACCCTGATTTAATCTTTTGGCACCTAGAATTGAGATAAAACATTAAAAATTCATATTTTTGCTTATTTTTATATATAGAACAGGTTTTTAAATCGCGACCAAAATTTTTTTTTTTTTTTGGCATCCTCTATATATACATATATATATATATATATATATATATATGTATATATATATATATATATATATATATAAAATTTTTTTGGTTATATTTTTTATTAGTTAAACTATAAGCTAATACAAAACCAAGAAAGGTGAGTTTTTGTGATTGGTGCCCAGAGTGAATCAAGTTAGCAATATTATAAGAAGGTGTTTAACTACCCTTAGTACCCCTATTTTTTACTGCAGAAATATAATTAATTGTTCTAATTGTGATTGTTATATATTATGTATGATTTTTAAGCTGTTAAATATAAAGTTTTTTTTTAGATTAGCAATACTGTATTATGGAGAAGAAGGGCAATTGTTATGTGCAGTTTAAATGGAGCTTTTGATTCTTCAGCTGTTGTGCTACTTATTTTTAAAGTAAATTTTTTATTTTTCTTCAATTACTATAAGTTATTTGATAACCTTCATTTGATGCTGAATATCTTAATATTATTAAGATATTTTTGAAAGTCTTGGAGAATAGTCTCTAACTTTTTTGAATTACCTTATAAAGAAGTTGAGAATAATTTGAGCTCAGGTCGAAGAATGTTAAAATTTCATAAATGAGACTTTGTTTTGTTATTCATAAAAACAGCTGCTAAACTATTATTTTAAAAGTCTAACTTTTCTTAGCCTCGTTCACGCGATCAAACGTCGTTTTTGGCGTGGTCACATTTACTAAAAAAAAGTCATAGGGACTAAATTTCCCTAGAACTTTGAAATTTGGAACTGAGTTTTCTCTAGAAAAAAAAGTTAGTCCCTGTGACATTTACTAAAAAATGTCACAGAAACAGAATTAGGTTAATGTAGGTAAAATACCTGATTTTTACAACAACAAAAAAATGAACATTGTTATTTAAGTTTGTTAAGAATTCATTTTGAGTTTGTTGTTGTTAAGACATTGAAAGTCTGTTTTTGTCAATTTAGTATTATTACATTATTCAAAAATATTTTTTTCACTAGAGATCCATATCCATTATTTAACAAACTTTAACAAATTTAAGCCTAAAATTGATGAAATAATTTTGTTTGAAAAAACTAAATATAAACAAAAGTATCATTTAAAAGTTTCTTCTTCAATATAATCAGCATAATTATCATAGTTATACTATCATTTTATTTTCAATTTAATTTAGAAACTTTATTTACCATTGGTTATATTTCAAAAACTAATTTTAATCTAATTAAAATTAACACATATATCGTTATGGGCAGCACACACAATATTGTTAAAAAATTAGTAGATAAAAATGACTTGTAAATAAAAAGCCTGCACAAGATCTAAATTTCACTTTTTGTAATTTACATCAAATTTACAATAAAAAACAAGAAACAATTAAAGTTTAATAAACAAGAAAGTTAAATAAAAATGTGATAAATTTTACAAAAGCAATTATTGCCATTTTAAATATGTTTTTTGAAACAAACTATATACATATGGTGTCATTATCTAAAGAGTTCCAAATTGAAGTACCTATATAAAAAACAATGGATGGTAGCCTTTGGAAGGTAGCAACAATTTTTTGCAACATCAAAGTTTATAAGGCAAATTTTATTGTCAACATATTTTTCTTTAATGGTGGATTTGTATGTTATCCGGTAACTGATATCCAGCCGGATAATAAAATAGTCTGGTTGGCAATGCCAGATTTTTCATGTGAATAAATAATAAGAAAAAAGGTTGTTTTAATTATTGCTGCAGTCTTAAAGATATCTCGTGTATAAGACCTGATCAAACCATTTATCAGTTAACAGAATAACACAGTTAACATGAATCCTGATAATGACAACCTAGCTGACCCAAGAGTGCCACTTATATGGGGTGATAGCATACACATCAAGGGACTCTGTGATGTAAATTTTGAAATCTTTTAATTTTATCTGCAGAAAATAATTTAATTTCAATGTTCAAATATAATGGAATTTTTACTTTATAGTGCAATCAAAAAAACACCTGAAGAATGAAAACCTCTACACAAAATTTGATAAAAGTTGTTGCAAATGTAGCATATGGCTCCTCCAAACTCTTGATAAAATTTCAGTCATTGGTTAAAGATTTATGGCAGTTTTAGTTTATGTTTTGTTAGTTAATTGCTACTTAGACCTCAAAACATTACCGATTACTGTGATATTTGATCACTATTTTCAAAATAAATATTACATTAGTGTTCTACTATGTAATTAATTTTTGTTGTATTAGTTTTATTGCTACATATGCCATTTTCATTCAATAGACAAAAATATTGATTTGCTATTTGAAACATAATTTGAATTGGCTTATGCATAGCTTAAAAATCTCAACATTTCCTAAAGTATATACTACTGCCAAAATGCATAAAAGTAATAAAAAGTGCAAAACCTGGCTAAAGGACTATTAGTTGGTAAAACAAAAAAAAAAAAGCGTTTCTGTTAAAAGAATTTTTATTGGCACTTGAAACTTTCTTAAATATATTGACTTTCAAAATGAAATGAAAAAATAACTATATCAACCCTATTTTTTACATTATATTTCCATCAAATAGCACCTGATTAAATTGCGAAACATAGTCTTTTATTTTCTAATAAAAAGAAATCTATTCAAAGTTTAATATACTCTTTTTGTCAATTACTCTTTAATATTTTTACATATTAAAATTCATAATTGCTAACAGCAGTTAAGGATTAAAATGGTTGAAATATTCATTACAAACCATAAGCTATGATTTTCTGCTGCCTTATCTAATTATGGTATCATTTCTTTAAAGATGCTTACTGTTCACGTACTGTTACTGTTCAGATCAGTTCTGCAGCATAACAATCTTTCATTGTACTATAGATGAATATTGTTTTGTTTATACCTTGACCAATCTTTATAAAAGTCTTGATGTGCAGTTTCGACTGCTTGTTCACTATAGGACCCAAAAGGAGATCCTTTGTGACTAATGAAATCTTTGATGTGGTAGAAAGCAGTGTGAATTTTTTGTGAGTTTCCAAAATCTTGTTATTGTCAGGCTCACTGATGATTGGCTTTCAAATGACATTGTCAAACAACTTTGCATGAGCAACAACCTTGTCAGATTGCTGAAAAGCGAGGCTAGATTCGATTGAGCCTAGTGTTCACAGGTTTTCAGATTTGTCAAGACACTTGGATTTAACATCACACTATGTACAAGGGTGCATACTTGAATGGGTTTGAAGACCACAATTAATATTTGCAACTTTTAAATTGCAAATTAAAAAAACTTTTAAAAATTAGTTAAATTAGTTAAACATCATTTTCTTTAATCAGTGATCAGATTTTATCAATGTTAAAGTGAGTTTCTGGCAAATCTTCTGATACCGCAACAAGAATTTGTCTCCTAACTCCAGTGTCTTTGCCAGTCTTTTGAGTGAGAAGTTGTTTTTGAGGCGGTGAGGTTTTATCAACCCTTAACGCAATATCAACAATGCTTAGACAAAACTTGATAAAATCTTTACCACCATCAATTCAGAACTCAACAAAACAAACACCAGAAATTTTGTGAGATTGAATAACATGATTCCCAAGACTTGATAACTCATTGTAGTGAGCAACAACCCAAACTGTACCAGAATCTCCTTTTCCATTGGTAATTTTTAAGCCACTACAGGTGAAGAAATCACCCAAGTGTTGACCTGCTTTTTAGAAATTCTTATAAAAATTTAGCTATACCATAATGTTGTTTGGTTTACAGTTCTGACCAGTTTTTTGAATTTGTTGTTTGATAGTCCTGTATTTAATTTTTGTTAATTTACCTCCCCATTGTTGAGAAAGCTTGGATCGAACTTGGAAACTCTTGCTTATAAAGAGAGCGCTCTACCACTACACCACTACCAAATTAATTGTACATTTGTACATTGTGCAATTGTACTTTTCATTACATGAGTAAAAATCAGCCTGGGCTAGGTTTCAACCCGCTTATCTGGGCTGAAATTTCCCCCCGCCTGACACTTTGTTTTCTTACAAATTCAAATTTAGTATTGTATGATGAGCGGGATGAAATTCCCCCCGGGATCAATATCCTAGCCTGTTTTATAAAACTGAGGCAGGATTTTCAGCCCTGAAAATTTCCATTATTAATGTAAAATTAAAGATGGCTGCACTAAAACCAGTAAGTGAAGTAAAGATAAAAGAAAGCGTAGAAGTTCGATTTTGTTGGGATAAAGACAATAAAATTTCAAATTTAATACAGAGTTTATCAAATTTTAAATCTCAAATGGAATATAATAACAAGGATTTTAATGCTGACAAATCAAATCAGTACGAAAGTTGTAGAAAAGCTTTAGCTAACATTTACTGTCATGAGCAAAGTTGGTTTGGGCCTGTTTGTCCTAATGACAATATTTTATCCAAACAAAATAAAATGGATATAACTCTTATTAAAAGAGGTTATACTAGAGTTCAAGAAATAATCAAAGAAATTCGTCAGAATTTTTCACTAGCTGTAACATCAGGTCTAAGGAGTGGAAGTGGAAAAATAGTACTTGAGTTTTATGATCATCTAGTTCAAATATGGGGTGGATCTCCATCTATAGAACTGTTATTTTTTGGGAAATCAACGTATGATGTTAATAAGGAAATTATGGATAATAACAAGTGTAGAAAATTTAACATGTAGCACTGAAGACACCACAGTTAAAAATACAGATAATGTAAATCTATGTTCAAGTTCATGCAGTATTAAGGACAATAGTGTAGTTGATTTTTCTTTATTATTACAGAGTCCAGAAACTTCATCTGCTGATAGTGATATCTCAACTAAAAAAAAGAAACGTAAAAATGACAATAATCATTATTGTCATTTTTACGTTTCTTTCTTTTAGTTGAGAGTTTAGTTGAACAATTTCATTATTAATTGTTCCAAAATTCATTGACAATAAGCGACGACACATGCAGAGACAATTGAGTGCATCACAAAGAGATCAAATTTTGTTGAATGAAGAAAAAGAAGATGCTCAATTTAAAAGAGATATTGCTGAAGCCATAAAACATTCTGATGAAACATTCTCAGCATCAATCAAGCAAATGTCAGAATCTATTTTACAGGTTGCCCAGGGACTTTCTAGATCAATGGAATTATTAATTCAGGCAATGAAAACTATTCAACAATAATTAAGGTGTATAATAAAATTATTACATTTTATAGTAACTTTAATGATTGCAATATAATTCAATTTTTAAATTGTAATATAATGGACTTGTTTTTATTGCTTATGAATATTTTTTTTCTTGTAAAACTTCATTTGTTTTGTTGTTAATTTTAAATTACTTTCTTACTAATAATTATAACAAGTTTGTAATGAAACGTAACAATAACAATAATTTAGCAAAATACAATAATTTAACCACAAAAAAGGATTTCACATTTTCCTTAGTTTTTTTATTATAAGCTTTTTGTATTTTTAGTCCCTGAATAAATTTTCTGATATATATTTTGTTATAATTTTGCGTATATATTCACCTTCAGGATTATTAGCAGAGTAAATACTGTCAGGGAGGTTTGGGCTTTTCAATGCATCACTTCGATGTATTATAATTTGCTGATTAACCTCCTCTTCATTTAGGTCATAGGTTTTGTTTTTTTCACAAAAATTATGAAGAACAAAACAAGTATAAATAACAATAGGAACTGTTTCTATTTTTATATCAAGTATTTTTCTTTAAAATCCCCACCTTGCTTTTAATCTGCCAAAAGCAAATTCAATCTGGTTCCTAGCAGAGCGTAACATGCTGTTAAATATGACTTCTTCGTTATTTGAACAACTTTGAAATCTTTTATGCAAAAGTTTGTTAATGGATAGGCTGGGTCTCCAATCAAATAGTTAGGAATTGAATGATAATTAGGTAAACTGTACAATGTTTGAGGTAGTGTGCCTTTTATTAATTTTTTATTGATAGTGGAATTTGTAAACATCTTTGCATCATGTACAGATCCTGGTCATTTGCATTCAACATCAATAAAATATCCTTTACTATCGCATACCGCTTGTACATTTAATGAAAATATTGCTTATAACAAAAGTAGTCTTGACCGTTTTTAATAGGACGTTTAATTTGGACATGAGTGCCATCAATGTATCCAAAGGCTTGTATCATGCCGAACTTTACTTCAAACTGTGAAGCTAATTTCGTCATATCCTCTTTATTTTTAGGTAGATGTAAATATATAGGACCAACGATATTATTTGTGGCTTCACATACAACTTTTACAGTTTTTGAAACAGTACATTGGTGAATGCTGAAAACATTGGCTGTAACCCAAAGGGAACCAGTATCCTTTAAATAATAAATGGTTATTGGTAGTTTTTTGTGTATAGTTAAAAAACGATAATTTGGACAGTTAGGTTGAGGACTTACAACAGTATCTATAATAGCAGCAAGCTCTAAAAAACATCCATTTGTCATTTGGAAATTTCTTTTCCAGCAAGTTTCAGGGACATCTGGTCCAATCATATTTTGCCACCATAAATCAGTTCTCCCCTTTTCCACCCATAAACTTCTAGATTTTCTGTTCATAAGTCTTTGTCTAACAAGTTTCTTCTTACAGTTCAAGTTATTTTTTCGTGTGCATAAATAAGCACCAAGGGCAATATTTTGTTTGCTTTCTAATAGTTTGTATGTAATTACTAAACTATCAAGTTGCAATATAAATGCTGTAAGTAGACTGCACTGTTGAATTATAAATAACACTAATTCTAGAATATTATTATTTTCACGAATAGACATTTTACATAAAAAAATTTCAACCTGGCCGATTTGAAATTTTCAAAACTGAAAGTTGCAGCGAGATGAAAAGGTCTATGTAATAGTAAACAATTTTCAACCCGGCACCGAGCTAAATTTTCATCCCGGGTTGAATTCACCTCATGTAATGAGCCCCTTAGAAGAGCTAGAGTGTTTAATTTTGGAGTGCTTGATAGTAACTTGGCACTACTTTGACCTGAAACAAAAGCATGCATATTTTATCTTTTTCGTAAGCTTTGTTCAGAAAGTTTGTTTAAAACTTTAAAACTTTTTTAATTATTCATTTTTAAAATGATTAGAAACTTGTTAAAAATATACTTCAAGAAACCTATTATATATAACTGATGGGAATAGGCATCGACCGAAATTCGGTTTTGGTATCGGTTTTGTCTGAAATTTTAATTTGAACTGATACCAAAATTTTGGTTTTGGTATCAGTTCAAATTGAAATGCTTAAAGCTGGTTGCGTCATGAAATTAGCTTAAAAAATTAATGGCGCTGAAAAAAATAATCAAAAAAGAGATAAGGACTGAATATTGATATCTCTGAAACCATAAGGAGTCAACCACTAAACTTTGGAGTGAAGTTTTTTTTTCATTAAATTAAGTTTGTATACCAAAAAATATCAAAATCTGAGATGGCATGGTGCAGAGCATAAATTGAATTGAGCTAAAATGACCCTTTCAGTTTTTTTTCTGTTTCGGTCGATCACTAGGTTTAAAACAATTTTTTTGTTATATAAGATTAAAGCATTGGTAAGACTGAAGAAATTCTTTTATGTAATTTTTTCAAATTTGTGTAATGAAATTTTTATAATCAAATTTGTATAATATTTATAAAGATCTGCATCATCTGATAGCAAGGGCCTTTTTAAAGTTATGAAAGATAAAGACATAATTCTGATTAGGAGGTTTATTAATTTCAAAGACCAACCATATTTGCATTTTTTATATAATTTTAAATATAATAGTTTGTCATTCTGCAGTGTTAGTTTATTTAACTTGATAAAGTATGTACATTAATATTCACAAGTATCAGATCATTGAGAGTATACACAAGTATGCCTCCATTGAGAGTATGCCTCCATTGAGAGATCAAGGTTAATAGAAGTTTTGTAACCACTTTGTAAAAATTGGCTTATAGGGAACGAGTTGTCTAATTTAGTTTCACCATTAACATGTACATCAGCAGATTTATTTATAAATGTTGCAACATCAGTAAACTTGAGTTTATATTTAGGAAGTAAATTGTAATTTGAGTTTATATTTAGGAGGCAAAGCTAGCATTTTTAGGTCATATTTTTGCCCTAAGTTTATCTAAATCAGATTTATAACTTTGTATTTTTATATTTTACTTTCAGTATTCCTTTATTAGGACAACTGAAGTAATTGGTGAACAAAGCTATTAGTGGAGTTATGTTAAACAGATTTACAGTATAAGTTATTGTCATAATCTTATATGTTTAAATGAAGACCTTGATGGCCAAGGTGTCTGTTAGTCAAATTAGAGTAATCTGTAAAGCAAAGTTTGAAATCTTTTTAGCTAATTATAACATTGTCAATTATGCTTTAGCATTATTGAAACTACAAATTAGTGTTGATAAAATAGTTTTGCAAAAAGTAATTAAAATTCTATATAATGTCAATAAGATCCTTTAATTTATTCATAGCCATTTTAGACAAATCACTAACAAAACTGTTTATCCCAATATGGAGAATTATTTTTGAAGGATTTTCAATTATTTTATTATGTGGTGAAACATGTTCTCAATGGTAGCACCAAATAAAAATTGGACTTTAACATTATCAAACTCATGCATTTTTTTTCTTTGACCCTAATTAGCATGGAGTCACCAGATATTTAAGTGGTAGTATTGGGCCATTACTTTATACTTGCTGCATTTTGTTTTTTTCAGTAGATCTAATTTCTATTTTTTTTTTGTAACAATGTTGAATTTATAACCAGGTTTTTACATGTATTTGTCTGATTTTTGTATTTTGAGAGATTAGAATGTTTTTCTTTTCTTCCTGAAACTAATTGGATTTTAAAATTGTCTGATTTGTGGACTAAATTAGGATTTAATATATCAGTGTTTATGATATTTTTAAATTTGTAATCTTTTTCAAACTATAGATAAATCATTAGATAAACGATCTTTAATGTTTCTAATAACAGATCTCTGACAACTTGTTTAAACAAAACTTGTTTAAACTAAACTTGTTTAAACCAAACTTGTTTAAACTAAACTTGTTTTGCTGTTTTTAAGATTATTAATTTCATAATTTTATTGTATTAAGTTTTTTATGAAAAATATTACCTTGATCAGATTTAGTATATTTTTCTGGAGCTGGAACTTTATATGTAAACTTTATATGTAAATTTTATATGTAGACATTATATGAAGACTTTATAAGGATTTTACAATTCTTATGAAAGCAACTTTCTGGAGCTATGTAAACTTTATATATAAACTTTATATGTAGACTTTATATGTAGACTTTATAAGTTTCTTTACCATTCTTATGAAAGCAAATTAAGATGTTTTTAAATAATTTACAAAATTCATATACATGTAGTTTCTAAAACTTTTTTTCTTAGTGTTTTATATGTATGAATAAATTTTTACTTTTAAATTTTTTTGTTTTAGTTGCTGCACGATGTTGGAGTGGAACTTCATCATACATTGTATGTATATAGTGGACTTTCATCACTGTTAATTGCTTTTATAACAATTTTCCTGGTTCCTTCCCATGATAAGTTAAAAAGATGGTCGAATGAAGAAGAACTGGAATGTTCACGATCTTTTTTAAATGACAGTGTTTCTACAAAACAATTAATATCAACGAGTGGAAACAATCTAAACAATGAACGGTAATTTGAAACTAAATTTAAAATTACTTTTTAAAAATTCTAATGTTAGTAATATCTCATTTCATAATAACACATATAAAGTAAAACATTTATGTCTCATTTTACATTTAATTTGAATTTTTTTTGTGCATTTTTTTGGAGGTGAATAAGGTGTAAATGTTTAATGATATGTAATGTTTAATGATCATGTATAAAAATTATTTTATACATTAAAAGATATAAATCACAATCTTTTTATTTCTTGTTACCATTAGTTACCAGGGTTACCATTATTATCAGGGTTGTTTTGATATTGATTGGTTTGAATCTGTTGATTAAAATTTTGTTTAAATCATGATTTACATTGGATAAATAAAAATGATGTTTTAAATTGAATTTTTGATTTAAGTTGTTTTTGTGATTATTTTTGATTTAATCTTTGATTAAATTTAAATAGCATAAAATAACTGTATAAATAGGTATAAGTGCAGCACTGGAATTAAAGGCCATTCAGCAATCAATAATGTTTTGATATCCGATTATCAATTCTGGCCAATCAAATTTGATTGGCAATGCCCTAGAATGTCAAATAGAACACAATGATGCTCCACATCTTGGAGCATCATAAAGTGCAGAAAAACAGTTACAAATGGCTAAATAAATTGCTGTTGCATTAGACCTGATGTAGAGGGACAGTTGTACTGGTGGTGGCAGCGTAGTGATATGGAAAAACCTTCAGACAAAATTAATACCTAAGCTTAGCCAAGATGCTAAAACAAAATTAAGCAAAAGAATACAGCAGGCAATGACCTCATCTCGTTTCTTGGCTAAGATTGTTAATCTCAAATAAAAAGGTAAATAGCTGATAAAAAAATAAAGATTGGAATGGATATTGCAGCTTCAAAGAATTCAGATATTCTTCTATTTTGGTTAATTTTAAAGCAAAAGTTGCACCATTTTAAACTATAAAACCACGTGATTGGTGGAAATCTAATAATAGTTGTGTGATTTAGAAATGACTGGAAGTTGTTGATCAGTTACTTAAAGCAGGCATTAAAAGAATATTTTCATCATTTGATCTTTTCAATGGTGCATCTAAACAATTTGCTTAATTAGAATTGAAATCAATGAACTTATTGATTGAATCTTTGACAAATGATTAACGCTGATTATGTTAAATAATCAGCGTTAAAAAAGGTTTTAGTGTTTCAAATTGATTTAATTATGATTTAATAATATAGTTTAATTTGATCAGTTGTTTTTTTTTTAATTAAATATATATGATTAAAAGTTTATATTTAAAAAATCTAAGTATAAGTAATGTGAGTGTAAAAAATGTTTTAAAATTGAATAAAAAATCACAAAAGTCTGATTTAACTCATCACTTAACTCATCGCTCATCACTTAATTCATCAGTTTATTCATATGTTACAGAAAACTATTTTTTTAGATTGTCTTTTTTCAGTTCTTTTGTTTTTTTTCTCAAGGTTTCAGTACAATTGTTTATTATTATGTTTCAAAATCTTGTTTTTATTTTATTATTTAAAGCTGTTTACTATATCACTTTAACTGCTTTAAACCTTTATTAGTTTTTTAATATGCACCTTAATGATGAGCATAGCAATAAATTTATTTTGATGTGTTTAGTCAAAATAAAGTTACTTCTATAAAGAAACTTTTGTAGAAGGAGAAATATGTGTTTAAGGTATTTTAAAATATTTATGGAAATAAAATTTTAAAATAATTTAGTATTTTTTTGTTAAAGCAATTAAAAGTATAAAACATTTTAGGATTGCACAGAGAAAAGTTATAGAACAGTAAAATGATTAAATCTCACTCAAGCCATACAACTCTTCATTCTGAAGAGAGGTTTTTAACTCTAGTATAGGAGCTATATATATGTATATATATATATATATATATATATATATATATATATATATATATATATATATATATATATATATATATATATATATATGTATATATATATATATATATATATATATATATATATATATATATATATATATATATATATATATATATATATATATATATATATATATATATATATATATATATATATATATATATATACGTATATGTATGTATGTATGTATGTATGTATGTATGTATATGTGTATATAAACACAAATATATAAACACATTCTCTGAATGCTATTCTTAAGATAAATGATTTTAATTCTAGAGAAAACTATTCAGATCTTAAAGCAGATGATAGCAAATCAAAGAAAATCAAAGCAGATGGTAATATTAAGGAGATTAAAGCAGATAGTGATATGAAGGAGATCAAAGCAGATGGTGATATGAAGGAGATCAAAGCAGGTAGTGATATGAAGAAGATTAAAGCAGATAGTAATATGAATACAAATTCATTAGTGACAAATTCAGAAACACATACTGTTAAAGGTAAATATTGTTAAATTAGTAAACTAGTGTTATATATATATATAAAAAGTTAAATTTAATTTTTCTCATATAATTAACAATTATGGTTAAAGTAGCTAGAATTAACTGGAAAAAATAATAAATTCAGAATTAAATAATATTATTTTATATAAAAAAAGTAAGTGTTCACTATTTAAGACTTATGGAGTAGTCTTTACCATTCATTTTCTTTGTATCTTGCCTCAAGCAAAACCTGGAGATGTTTGTACAATTGATTTCACCTTTCTTTAAGTTATTCTGTCAATTTATCTACATTTAATATTCTGTGGATTTTTGGTTTATATATTGTATTTAATTTTTATATCTTAAATAGAATGTTAAATAAGAATTTTCCTTGTAACTAATTTTAGCTTTGATCACAACACTTATAACCTCAGCCCAACACATTTAAAAAGTAATAGCTGAAAAATTACAATGTTTAATACTTTTTCCATTTTTTTCATATATATATATATATATATATATATATATATATATATATATATATATATATATATATATATATATATATATATATATATATATATATATATATATATATATATATATATATATATATATATATATATATATGTCTTTGTGTTTTTATGTAAATTGAACTTGAACTTTATATGTTAGTTTACTCTTTAAACAAACATAAATTTCTTTCTAGCCACATTTCTTCAATCAATTTTTACACCCATCTATATTATTGAATTGGTATCTGTATTGTTTATACATTTAAGACTTCTTTGTTTTATTGGTTCTTTGCAACTAAATTTAGAAAGATTGACACAAAACAATACGAGTGAAGGTTAGTGTTATTTAGTGTTATAATTATCTTTAAATGATTTTAGAAAATTAAATTTATAAAATTTTTGATTGTATATTACTTTGATTTTTTTTTTTAGTGAGTAAATTTATAAATCTTTTTGGATATCTACAGTTCTTTGGTATATTTGTAACACCTATCATAGGCCTAACCTTTACTGATTTGAGAATGATAGATAAACAACATCTTGAAAAAGAGGAAAATTATATCCACAGTTTACGGACTTCTGTTATTCCTTATTGTATCACAAACTTTTTAGTCATAATGCTATGCTTGTTTGACCTTATTGATAGTATGAAGTTACAGGTTGGCTTTAAATGACTTAGCTGATAGTATAAAATCTTGTTTTGCTTTTGGCTATTTTTAAATTCCTGTTTTAGGTACCTTTATACATTCTTTGCACGACTGTTAGAGGCTTTTTGTATGCAAATCATGCCACTTTTATTGGAATTGCGTAAGTACAAAATTTACTTTTTTTAATTGATATTTTCAATATAAAAGAACAGTATGTAATAATATTTAAAATGAACAATGAGAAAGATATAAAAACATTGAATCATATTATTTTGTTTTAAGTTTAAATTATTTAATAAAAGGTTGTTAAGATTAAATGGACTTTACAGATTACCTATTTTAAACAAAGACAGTGAATCACTTGTTTTTAAATAATCAGAATTTAATTCATTTCAACAATATAATTCTTTATATAAATCATCATGTTGCTGTTCTAAAGAATTAAAGTTGTATTTTTTAAAGCACATAACGAAAAGAATATTTTGATCAAGCATCAGAACTTGTGTACTTATAAAGTGTAATTAAAAAAAAAAAGATTGTCGATGTACAATTCACTTGATGGAGCTTCTACTAGCTCAAAAACTGTTATATTTTTGCAAGAAAATTTTTTATAATAATATTGAATTGTAATGTTTTTAATCCAAAAAAAGGAAGCAAAATTTTTTTTTTAATATTTTTAAAACTTTTTTTTATTTAAAGAACTAATAGTTGATTTGTTGTGTCCTAAATATAAATAAATAAATGTGTGTATATATATATATATATATATATATATATATATATATATATATATATATATATATATATATATATATATATATATATATATATATATATATATATATATATATATATATATATATATATATATATATATATATATATACACACATTGTTTACATATTATAGTATATATGTATTATGCTAGTATTTATGTAAAAAAATGTTTCATTTGCATTTTATGTAATGATTTCAAACAAAGAGAACAAAATAATTTTGAGAAAAAAAAAGTCCAGTTTTTATCAAAATGCATCATTTAAAACCAAAGAATTAACTTAAATCGACTGCTAAAATAAATGTGTATAAAACTGGTTTAAAATGATATACAAATAAATAAAAATGATGAATATTATACATTCCTGTATTGATAAATTGCAGTCCTCTCACTGAGTACTTCATTGTACTTAATGTCTTCCTAGATTATCAATCACTACTGACCTCTCATGGAATCCATATTTGCAATCCATTACAAAGTCAGCAACTGCTAAGGTTGCTTCTCTTTGTTGTGGTTGCTATTTTCTTACTTCTGAATCCATTCTCTACCTCTACAAATCTCTTAGTCATCCCTGTATTTCCGTACAGGGATGAATAAGAGATTTGTAGAGGCAGAAAATGGATTCAGGAGTAAGTAAATAAGCAATAATCAGCTCTTCTTCCATCAACTAATACTAATTTTTGTTTGACTTGTCAATCAGCAAAACTGCATCTGTTTACTATATCTTTACCTTCATACTAAAAATTTTTTATTTTTCTAGTTTTTTCTTCCATACTTTACTTATGACATGCATTTTCAGAACACAATATAATGCATAAGCTTGCATTATATTGTGTTCTGAAAGTATCAGTTCTATCTTTTTTAGGATTTTTTAAATTTTTTAGATATAAATATTTCTTCTAGATTCACTTTTCTGATTTTAGTTCAATTTATTTTTGAAAAAATCAGGTTTCAGTCTTAGTAATCTGCTGTTTATAGTTTATATCTATAGTTTATATCTGTCTATAGTTTATATCTGTTTATAGTTTATATCTATAAAGCTCTAAAACACTTCAATAGTGGTTTGCAAGATAGTTTAAATAGTTTGATTGGGCAATGACACATATCATTTAATCCATTAACAACACATATAGCAGAAAAACTTGCCAAATAGCCAGAAACAACTGTGATAATGTGTGCATAGATTTTGAAAGTTGTTTTCTTAAAAATTCTTTTTAAAAGCATCTTAAACAATTTATATTTTATTACCTTTCTGTAATTGTGGCTAAATTTGAATTATCTCCCAAATTATAAAAATTTATTTATATTAAATTTATACATTGATGTTATGAATTATTTGTTTTAAACCAGTTATTAATAGTTTTTTTTATATGCAGCGTATTAGTAGAGTGATTGCTTCGTAAGAAATAAGTTGGCTCCCAACCAAGTCCCAAGCTTTATTAGTACCACGCTTAACTTGTTTCTCTGTGTTTTTCTGTGTTTCTTGTTTGCTCTTGTTTTTAAAGGCTTGTGTTTTAGTGTTAAATTGTTAAAAGAGTGTAATAACAAATAAAAAAACGATGTTTAACAAAAAGTCTCCTGTCTCCAAGTCTCCTTGACTGTGTTAGCTCCTTTGGCTTTGGCAGGTGAATACATATAAAAAGATGATCATTTTTTTATAATGGCTTTTATATCTTTTATCATTTTTTAATTTCATATTTATCATTTTTTGAATTTAATTTTAATTTAGACACTCATGTTTTTGATCATCGAAAGTTTTTTTCATACGTCTAAATGTATGTTGTTATTAGTAACATTGGTTTTAATAGAATTAAAAGTATATTTTGACTGACTGCAAAAAAACATATATCAATCATATGTGGTATTATTTGTCATTTTGTGATATACTTAAAAATTCAGTTTCAATTTCTTTTGTATTGTAAAATAGTTACGCACTGCAACCTAGCATTTGGTAAAGCGCATTGCGTTCCAGTCACTTAGTAAATTTTTTGAATTTCGATATAATTTGCATGTAAGCTATGCAGGTTAAGAGTCAAGAGTATGCAGGTTAAGATTACTGCTAATATTGTTACTTATTTACTTGGAGTCAGGCTTTTTAAATTCTCAAATCCAGTGTTGTTTTAATTTCAAATATCATTGTAAAAGTTTTCATTATTTTTGTTATTTTAAAAAAGCAATTTTAAAAAGTCATTAAAAATAACAAAAATCGGTAATCGGTAAAATGCGAACCTCGAACCGAACATTTTTGCGAACCAACGCATTATATTTCAATGGCGACTACAGTTATGATATTTAAAAAAACGTTTGCTCATTAATTTTTTATTTGAATTAAATATAATGGAGTTAGATATTTTTTATTTAAATCAGATTTTATATTTTTAAAATAAAATATAATTTAATTCTGCATGAAGTCCATAAAATGTATAACAAAATAAATAAATTATCGGCAAACGGAATATAAAAATATTACATTAACAACCAAGAGGAACCTGGTTCGCAAAAAAGTTCGCATTTTACCGGTTTGCAGTTCGCATTATACTGGTTACCTCAAAAATCAATTTTTTTTCAGATTTCCACAATATCAATTTACAACGCTTCTTGGATTTAGTTATCTTTTGGCTGGATTGTTTAGCATTCTACAGTATTTTTTCTTCTATCTGACTATTCATGTCTTCGAGGGTAACCCTTTTTGGGTAAGATCTCCTGGTTTTCATTTATTTTTAAAAAATATAAAGCTTTTTTTCTTAATTTTGAAGTATAAATAGGTTATATTTAAATTAAAATGTTTAATTTTAATTATTATTTTTTTTCTAGTTTTCTTTTTTATGTTTTGTAAAAAATGTTTATGTTGTGACTAAAATAAGGGGTTTCATCGAAACTGTTTGTAACTATATTTTAAAAATATCTTTTTTTGTTTACTCAAGTTAATGTCGCTAATTGTTAATAATTTTTGCCAAATGGCTTTTTGGCACTTTTAAATTTACAAACATTTTCAATATAAGCAAATTTTAAATATAAAAAGGTTCAATAAACTGGTAGAAAAACTAATGATTTTTCTACCAGTTTATTGAACCTTCGTTCGTATTAAAACTTCGGTTCGTGTTTCGAAGTTATAGAGTTGAGAGGGTTGTAACAGTAATTAAAAATGCCTCCTCTTCTGTAGTGCTCTTCTCAGTCTTAAGAAGGCGAATTAACATTTAAAAAAAGTGCCAATTGTAGTTTTAAAATCGGATATGTACTCAAAACAATATCAACAAAGCACTCAGTTTTTCTGTACTAAATAGTTTAGAGTATCTGGTAAATAATAAGTAAGAAATAAGCGCAAATAAAGATATTTTGTTTCACACTACTCAACCTCAACGTTTTGTTTATATCATATTTTCATATATAATTTCATATTTTGTTTCACTATTACCCAACATATATAAAAATCATATATATATATATATATATATATATATATATATATATATATATATATATATATATATATATATATATATATATATATATATATATATATATATATATATATATATAATATAGTTCAGTTTTTTATAAAATATATAAAATGTTTCTTTATTGTATAAAAAGAGGAATTATAATGATAACTTTTTATAGTTATACAATAATATATTTGTTTCAAATTATAACTAAGTACTTGAAATGTCTTTAAACATTCTTTAAGTGACATTTTTTAAACTTTAATTTTAAGTCAAATCTGATACTTCTATTCTTGGTGTTCCTGTGTAATGCATTCCCCGTTTATGTGTGGTGGTTTTGTCGTCAAAAAGAAGCTTTGTTTAAAAAGTCTCAGCAACAAAAGTTCAACGTCCAGTGTAGTTCCGATTCAGAGTCCAGCGTAGTTCCTGCAACCAATGTTCAAAGCCTAGAATAATGTAATAAATTATTAATATATGTAATAAATAGATTGTAAATATTTTAATCATAAAAACCGAAAATATTATAAAGTTTTGACGAATCAATAGATAAAGACTTTTTGCTTATAATAATTTTAGTTACATTTATGTGTGTGTGTTTATATATGTATATATATATATATATATATATATATATATATATATATATATATATATATATATATATATATATATATATATATTTATATATATATATATATATATATATATATATATATATATATATATATATATATATATATATATATATATATATATATATATATATATATATATGTGTGTGTGTGTGTGTGTGTGTTTAACACACACACATATATAAACACACACACATATATAAAACACACACACACATATATATATATATATATATATATATATATATATATATATATATATATATATATATATATATATATATATATATATATATATATATGTGTGTGTGTGTTTATATATGTATATATATACTACTGTTAAAATATGATTTTAATTTTGCAAATTTTTATGATTTGAAATTTGCTTTATTAATCATTATAGGTGCCTCAAGAACCTAGAATAATGTAATAAATTATTAATATATGTAATAAATAGATTGTAAATATTTTAATCATAAAAACCGAAAATATTATAAAGTACTACTAATATATATACTACTGTTAAAATATGATTTTAATTTTGCAAATTTTTATGATTTGAAATTTGCTTTATTAATCATTATAGGTGCCTCAAGAACCTAGAATAATGTAATAAATTATTAATATATGTAATAAATAGATTGTAAATATTTTAATCATAAAAACCGAAAATATTATAAAGTTTTGACGAATCAATAGATAAAGACTTTTTGCTTATAATAATTTTTGTTACATTTATGTGTGTGTGTTTATATATGTATATATATATATATATATATATATATATATATATATATATATATATATATATATATATATATATATATATATATATATATATATATATATATATATATATATATATATATATATGTGTGTGTGTGTGTGTGTTTAACACACACACATATATAAACACACACACATATATAAAACACACACACATACATATATATATATATATATATGTGTGTGTGTTTATATATGTATATATATACTACTGTTAAAATATGATTTTAATTTTGCAAATTTTTATGATTTGAAATTTGCTTTATTAATCATTATAGGTGCCTCAAGAACCTTAAACATATATATATATATATATATATATATATATATATATATATATATATATATATATATATATATATATATATATATATATATATATATATATATATATATATATATATATATGTTTAAGGTTCTTGAGGCACCTATAATGATTAATAAAGCAAATTTCAAATCATAAAAATTTGCAAAATTAAAATCATATTTTAACAGTAGAAAACAATAGAAAAATAAAACAGTAGATTGTATAGTACATTTAAAAATATTCAATTAAATGTTGGCATGAATCAAAACCTGTAAATTTGTAAAGCCTTTTAACAAAAAGGCTCATTTTTAACCAAGTCGAAGACTTGCTTTTATTTCTTGAATAAGTTCGAGGTAATATTTTTGATGTTTTGAGTCTAATGGTTAAAAATCTAGCAGCAATTTTTCAAAAATAAGTAGTTGCTCTTAAAAATTTAACAGTTAAAACCTCTTTTAAAGTTTACATCCAGTTTAAATTAGTCATATATCCCTATGTAACGCGTTCAGAACGTAAGATTTTTGCCGTACCACCATCTTGCGGTACGGCAAAAATCTTATGGTGAGGGTCTACTCATCCGTTTTTCACTGGAAATGGAAAAGGAAGGGAAAAATAATCACGTGGACATGCGTATTATAAATGTTAATTTGTCCGAAGTAAAACTACGCATGCTCACGTAATTATTTTTCCCTTTCCTATCCCGTTCCTGTAGAAAAACGGAAGAGTGGAAACTCACCTTTAAATTCTGGCTTCAATTTTAAAATCATGCATCTAGTTACATTTATACGTCATTGATATATATATATATATATATATATATATATATATATATATATATATATATATATATATATATATATATATATATATATATATATATATATATATATATATATATATATATATATATAGATAGATAGATAGATAGATCGATAGATAGATAGATAGATAGATAGATGGATAAAAATGTTTTAGGGTATGTTGACCCACTTTTTTTCTTTGATGGTTTACCTTCACATTTGACTTTATTATATTATGAAAAAAGTTTAATAAGACCCCAGAAAATCCGAAAGTAACTTTATTAAGTTAATATTCTGTTTTCAATACATTCAAAATTATTTTTGTTAGGTCAAGCCTGTTATCGAGATAAGTTAACCCACAGATATATAGCATATATAGATAGAGTTAACCAACAGGTATATAGAAAGATAACCCACAGATATAAAATGGTCCAAACAATTTTTGATCAAATTTGTTTTTCATGGGGCAATTAATACAAATAAAAAAAATGAGGCTCAAACCCTCATTGAAAATAAACGTGTTGCATTGAGATTCATATTTCGACAGATATATATCAGATCAGGCTGCAATAAATTTTTAGCTGAAAGCAGCGACAATGCTCTTTTAGAACAAATATGCAGAAGGTGGTTTCAGTAATTCAAGTGTGTCGATTTTCAAATATAAAGAACATCTTGGCGCTGAGAAAAGGGTTTGAAGATACTGAATTGGAGGTATTACTCGATGAAGACTCTTACCAGACACAGAAAGAGCTTGCAGAAACATTAGAAGTTGATCAATCAACAATTTCTAGGTGCTTAAAACTCAAAAATTTCTTCCACTTGTTAAAAGATTTACTACTTTTTCAACTTTCATCTATTAGTACTATTCCATAGTACTGCTAATGAAAATTGTAAGAAAATAACAAGTATTTCTATTTTCATAATTTGTTGATATACAACTATATATTTGTTAACAAACTATAAATTTACTTAAAACTGTTAAATAAAAAAGATAATCTTTAATATCATATTGCTGTTTTAGTTTGGTTGTCATGAAAAATCACGAAAACCACGTTTAGAAACCTTTTTCTTTTGGATAGTACACGTTGCTTTTTACTTTGCGTATATATCCCTATAATGGAAAAATTAAAATAATTTGTTAGCAAACAGTTATGAAAAATACATACTATCAAAATCTAAAATAATTAAAGTATTTAATAAAAAAATTTAACGTTGGTATTCTTCAAGACTCGACACCTTCAATCTTAAATATCTCGAAAGCCGTAGAACAAAATTTGATCTTATGATGACAAAATTATTCACAACCTTGTTGCTCTCCATTTTTCTGAGTTTTTTACATTTGCACTTTCTCACTACTCTAAAAAAAACCATGACCAAAAACTTATTTAACGTAGCAAATCTAATAACGACAAAGGGATGTTTTTCTTCTGCAAAATAATTAAGATGTAGAATTCTTTATAGCAGCCGTGGTGCAGTGGTAACACAAGCCTAAGAAATGTAAGGTCAGTAGTTCAAACCCCACCTCTAGGAACATCGGTTAAAAAGAAGGCGTTAACTTCCTATTAAATGCTCTTCCGCGGTGTTCTGTGATAAGACCGTAAGGACTTCTTGGAGCATCTAAAAAAAAATCTCTTACTGATTATATTGTTTACCCAATTCAAATCATATTTAAAAAAGCTTTCTTAGTTCAAATCAAATTTAAAAACGCTGCGCACTACATTAACTTATTTTTGTTTGATGTTACATAAGAGTAATTTTGATAAGACATGGATTTATTTTCCCTACCGGGAAACTGGATATAATTAGGACCCACTTACTATATACAATATACTTACTAATAGCAATGGGTACCATGTATACCTATAAAAATAGCCAGTTTATCTACCCATTTCTTAAACTAAAAAAAAACTATAAAACTAAAATGAACCTAAATGATAAACCAAATCAACATTTTGATTTAAGTTTAATAAAAATAAATAAGTACACAACAATATTAACATAATTATTTTTATTTAAGTGATTTTGATTGCGTAGTATAAATTATAAAATATGAGTAGTGTGTTATTTAAAATAGTTCAGAAGAAAAAATATAAAAATAATTGAAATAGTTCAATAAAATGTTTAAAAACTAAACTTTCAAGATTTATAACATTTTGGTTTTTTTACACATTAAGTCTTGATTCGGTGTAATGTCTGCCAACAATACCCTTTCACAGTTCATAAAAAACAATGATTCCTAATTCTCCTGTGTTAAACAACTTCTTAAACGTGTTTTGATGATTGTTTTGATATAATAATTTAATTTGATAAGTTTCGATAACGATCGTTCACACGTTACTTAAGAAGAACTGTTAAAAGAAACTTGTATACTTTAAATAATTCATTACACTCTAAAGTATACATATCGAATTCATAAATAACATTTGTTACGCATAATAAACATGATTTACATTTTTTTTTTCTTGTAGACTTGTAATTATCATTTTCCTAAGAATATTCAAAATCTTCAAAGTCTGAATCTTCATGCAAATTGCTTTGGTTTTGTATACATCGTATATACATCTCTGATACCAGTTTTGGATATTTGAAGCAAGAATTTCACAAATCATAATAATTGTTCTCCTAATTTACGTTTATCAATATGAAGTAAAAGTTCACAAGTTTTATGAATAGCTTCAGAATGAATTCCATTTTTCGTAATTTTTTGAAATCTTCTTGAATCAAATAGTTCAAGATCACAATAAAGTCCTTTACTGCTCTAAAACCTAGATTCTAAGCAAGCAATAATATTATCCATAACTACGTTAAATGTTTTGATTTTATGAATTTTTTTGGGAGTAATTCCTAATTTTTTGTTTGCATTTTTGGTTTTTAAGTTATTGAAATATTTTGAGAATTGGTGGCAAAACCCCAGTTCACTTTATATATATACTAATTATAAATAAGATTTAGTTGCAACGCATTGAAGCAATCTGTTTTCAAATTAACATTTTAATCTCGATTATAAATTTGAGTAAGAAAGAACGTACGTTTGGGCTTTGAAAACTG